AAAGAATTCACATTAGCAGGTCAAATCGTTAGTGGAAGATACTATTTTGATTGCATTTTGAAGCGGTATATTCTTTATATTCGGCTCAGTACCAGGTTAATGTTTGTTGCATAGATATTTGCCACCTCATCAAGCAACACGTCTGACTGATTTTTTAAAAAAAACCAAAGTTTTAACTGTCAATTAATCCCAGTATTTATTTGATTTAGCATCGTAAGACGTTTTACTTTTAAGAAATCTTCAGTTTACCGAAGAAAGAGTAGTGTTCCTATATGTAAAAGTTATGTACCGTCAATTTAAAGAACATTAAACACGTCGACCTAAAACACATAATATATACTTCTAAACTGTGCAAATGGCTATTTTACATCAAAAGTGGGGTTTTGAATGAAATAAATCAATTTTGGGTTAAAAAAATGTGGATGTTATTATTTATAAAATGTCCAGTTTACTTTGGAACTCAGCCTGTATATGTTATTTATTTGTTGCATATAAGTTTCACTATATTGTACATGATAATTATATAAAATTGAAGACACCAATTAAATATATTAACAGAACATTATAAAAAAACCATATTAAACAAATATAATGAAAATATTTTTCATTAATATTGTTAGTATATAATTAGCATTATTAGTATAATCTACATGATTACTTACACACAAAGAATATCTAATCGTAAAAGTTTTATTTAGAATTTATATATAATATTTTATTTCGTATAATTATTTTACCATAGATTTCCGATTTTTCAACTGCAATTGAGGTTCTGGATTATGAAGATATGGTAATAAATCGGCCCCATTTATTGCTACTGCCACTTTTAATGTAAATGCCAAACTAAATCCGATAAAGAGTATTAACTTCATTTTAGTTCTAACTGCTTAGACTATATGATTGCAACTAAATTGGGTTAAGATATTTTTCACATAATTTTCCAATCTTCTGTATCTATAATACTATTAAACACAATAATAAAATTAGTAAATAACGTTAACTTATCATTTAAAATACTTTATATTATTTCAGCTAATATTAACATACCAATAGGTATTTCGATTATCTTCAGAGATTAAACTAAACAAGTACAATATTCGTTTTGGGGGTTCAATCCAACTATTTTGCAATATTTTTGTTTATTAATATATATACTCCAAACATAAAGAAAGTACGACACAACGTAGAAAGTATTCCTTACTATTATCTTTCACCCTACAACCTACAAATCTACCGGCTACACAGTTTATGTTTTTGTTTGAGTGAAAAGAATTTGATTAAACATTGCTATAAATAATTGAATTAGTGCTTGGTAACTATATTAAGCAAAGGTTAATCAGTTTTTGCACTTTAGTATTAATAATTATAAAAGACCTATTCCATTTATTGTCTCTTATTCCATTTTATTGTTGAAATCTGTTATTTAACTATTTGTAACTGACTTTTCAACTTCTATAAAATACTTTTCTATGTTATTCGGAATTAATCATTTTAGATCTGATATGTAAGGTTTATCAGTTTTTGCACTTTAGTATCAATAATTATAATAGACCTATTCCATTTATTGTCTCTTATCCCATATTATTCTTGAAATCTGTTATTTACCTATTTGTAACTGATTTTTCGACTTCTATAAAATGCTTTTCTATGTTATTCGGAATTAATCATTTTACGTACAATCAATTGACATCGCTTCTGCTGATATATCTTTTGACTGCAGTAACTTCGAAAATAAAACAATCACTATTAAATGGTAACTATTTATTTGTGATCGTGAGAAATGCGTAAACGAGAAATACAGATCATCTAACTTTAACTGGACATCGTTATTTTCAATAATATATGTTTCTTTTTAATAATTTGATATAATGTCAGTTTCATTCATGAAAAATGTGAAGTACCTGAGCAAACAAATTCGCTTTTTATTCCCCACGTTATTGAAGATCGTGGGAATTTATTCCCCACGTTTTTGAAGATCGTGGGAATTTCAAAAGTAGAACTACAAAGTTGCATCCTATTACTTAATTGATTTATTTCTTTATTTGGAAGAAAAATTATGTATTTTCAACAAATTGCTTCACGCAGATTAGTTAAATACAAAGCTTAAAAGTTGCTGACAATTACTTAAATGATTGATTTATATGTTTATGTGAAGGAAAAATTATATATTCTTAAAAACTTGCCTCACGTAGATTAGTTAAAAACAATATTCCTAAAAACAAATGATCACACCTTTCAATGAAGTAAATCCGTAAGGGTAGATAACGTGACGAAGATGGAATAAAATGAATTTTAGGACTGGAGAATCGAAAGATTATTCTAACAGATCAGGTTTTAATATTTTGTGATAAGTAAATAAAACAAAATATCTCAAATAAATTTATTTAACTTATTGTTATTTAAATGCTTATTATTTATTCTTTCGAACTAATATCTTTATATAACAAAATGGCCTCTGATCACACTAATATTATAACAATTGCTCAATATTTTTTTTCAAATGGGAAGTACTTAGAAATCTTAATACTTGTACCATTTTTTTATATTATGACAAATTAAAAAGTCTGACTTTTTTCAATAACTAAACAGCTTTAAACTGTTTCTCTTTTAAGATCCTGTTTAATAAAATACACACTATATTAGCTGATTGAATGTTATCAGAGTTTATTTGTTCCAGAAACAATGAAAATGTTTAGAACTGAAAATTATTTTGATTGTCTGATATATTACATATGGAAATGACGATGAAAAATAACTTCAGTCATTTTACCAGTCAATTAACTTCTCAGGAACTACATTCAGGACTATATTTTAAATACTTGTTTGAAACGGTGTAATCATTGTTGACTAATATATAGCTAATAGACTAATGATTCCTAAAAATTCCACCAAAAATACCCTAACGATGTTAAATCAAATAAGCAACGAAGGCACAGCTTCATTTATGAAGACAACATAATATCAAACAAATTGCTTCAGTAACTCAATGATTTCTATGACAGTGTAGCTAGTAACACAGTCTCATTGAATCCAAAAGCCAGTCAGAGTATATTCGCCTACTTTTAGAAAAATAGATCGTTGGTTATGGCTTCGTTATATTATTGACGGCAATGTTTCTAATTTTCTTTATTTTTATACAAATACACTAGACTTTTAACAAGACCAAACAGTTTTTTTTTTGTTTTTGATGGTGCAACGGTAGATAATTGATCCCGTTGGGTCGTCCTTAGTATATAGTTAACAATTTTAATTTTTAACGAAACTACTGCGATAGAAATGAGCCACATAGCCTTGTAGTCAAAACCTTATTCTGATGTAAAGATTTGCATTATAGGCCGTGTGAAAATTCGACTAAATTGATGGTAAATTGAGGCAAATAGTAAATTATGTCGGTATGACAGCGAATGTTGATATTTATCAGAATTTCCTTTACCTCAATTACACGGTCAGAATATTGTTTAACAAAAAATTGATATAATTATTATAGTAGACCAAAAGTCCCACAATCTAAATGGATCTATTGTTAATAATCAGTCGAGTTAATTGATTGATAATATTATCAATTGCTTGAGAGCCGTAATATTGGATTCCAGAAAAGAAAGCCCTGAAATATATGGGATATGGGATATATTTTAATTAAGTTCCTTAGTTGATGTTGATATTTCCATTAATATATTTTCCAATGTAAGAATGCAAGTAATGTTGACCTAATATTAATCATTCAGGCAATATTAATCACTCAAGCAATTGATAATATTATCAATTGCTTGAGAGCCGTAATATTGGATTCCAGAAAAGAAAGCCCTGAAATATATGGGATTAGCATATCTTTTAATTAAGTTCCTTAGTTGATGTTGATATTTCCATTAATATATTTTCCAACGTAAGAATGCAAGTAATGTTGACCTAATATTAATCATTCAGGCCAATCAGGCCAAAAGTTACCAACATTCTACTATACTTTCCTTTTCCCTCTTTAAGCCTCCTATATGTTATAGGTATGTGTAAACTATTTTGAAATAATTATTTTATTTCGACATCGTTTTAAAAATGGAAAAGTGTATAGAATCATACAATTTAGTCATGCCGTATTAAAATGACTTAACTCGTCACATTTTTAATTTTTTATTAATAATTTGAATAAATAAATGATGGTAATTAAATTCGTTTATAAATGATACTAATTTATTTCCTTAAACTTCAATTGCGCAATTAACACATTTTATGCAAATTAAGGTATAAACTCATTCATTAATTAATTATAGAATTATTTTTTTATGGAATTCGTTTTCAAACTTTGGAGGCATTTACTTGGAGTGAATGTACAAAAAATATTATTATGCAGCCTCTCCCTTATGAGGAGAGAATATTCATAAATATATTTAAATATATTTTCTTATGACAAACTGGTAGCTTCTTTTAGATTGATTGAAAATGTGATAGCATCTGAAAAAGAGATAATAATGGAAAACTTGATAAAGTAACGTGTTCATACTGCCTTCATAGCTAATGAACATAACATTGGAAAAGAGAGAAAAAAGTGCTGGAGAGAAAAAATAATTTAATTTAACTATAACAAAAGAATTTTAATTACAGAATCTTAACAAATGTCATGATGTATGAAATTGGAGTAGTATTTGAAGAGGTTTCTACGTACCTATATAAATGCGTATCTCAAAAGCCTTCCATAAACGTTACTAAATAATTATAGAGCAAATTCCTAGATGCAGTCAAATACAGGAGATTCGGACAAAACTTTTAATGTCTACTTTATTTATCTGAAATATATACGTTAAGGATATAAAAATTGGTTCAATTATTAACTAAGACGGTGCTAACACGGTGTCTATTCAGAGCAGGCTAATAGGAGTATTTTCCAGAATCTACAATAGTATGTGTTTGCCAAAACTGAGTTGCTTGAACTACATGATTTTTAATTTAGGAGTATGCACGAAACAGAGAACCGCATTAGGATGGCCATATTAATGATGGTGGTTAAAATGCCCATAATCATTTTGATGACTTTAAGTAAGACAATAGGTAAGCTGATCCGACCAAAACATAACACAGAAACAATTATATTAACAACAGGCGTTCGTCAAAAGCATTTTGTTTACGCTACAATATTTATCTTTAATATAAACAGAGCACTTTTTTAAAATTGGAATAGGTACCCAAAAACAACCTATCATTATAATAGTGCAAATATTAGCTATTAGCGCTATAGCTTTAAATATTCTGGTATATTACAAATCAATTCGAATTCTGTCGAAATAGGAAAAGATAGGATATCGAAGAAAAATAAACACTGAACTAAAATGAATGTAATATAAAACAAAGTCCAGAAAGACTAAACTATGAATTTGCAAGAGAATATTGCAATCTATAGCAATAAACGACACTTAAACAGGATATATGGTAGTTAGATAGTCTGGCAGATTAATTATATTGAAATTGAAAACTTTATAAAGTATTATTGGGCAGTGGAAGTAGTTTATAAGAGATATACGTATAATAATAGCTATTATAAAGTGAAATTCTAGAAAATCATAAAAAAATAAATGATAGTTTGAGGCAATGCTGTTATATAAACTGAAGAGTAGTAGTAAGTTAGGGAGGATTGGGTTAATTGAATTTTAATCGGATTAAAATACAAGTCTTTGTGAAGAATGTTCTATTGGATGTCATTACGAAGCACAAAGCTGAAGTTATTATTAGAAGCAAAAATAGTAAACCACGATCTGTAAGCTCTATTGTTATGAAAATAAATGAAAAGAACTTTCGTAATAATTCAAGATTATTTTGTCATTGTCCATTGCATGCAAAACGCTTTCCAGTTGTAAGACCTTCTCTTAAAGGGCATCTTAATGTTTTTTACATCTTAACATTTTTTACACCCTTATATTAATGAAAGTGAAAGTAAAATCGTTTTTGTTTTTTTAGTTTTTATTTCGAGCGTTATTTCTAGTATATTTCTGTACGTATTTCGACAAATTTGCCTTTGCTTTCCTCAGGAGAATACCTGAAATTTCTAATATAAAAGTTATTAAGAACTTATAACTTCCTAACATAAATGTCCTTTGCTGAACATATGTCTTCGTGATTCCTTCCATCAAACACAATTTTGATGGTCAACGAATTCATAGTTCATATGTTAATACCAGCAACTAGTTTAGCATCGAAAGATCAGTTACTTTCCTATTTCTCAATAGACTACAGACTTAAACATTCAAACAAAAAATTTATTTAACGATTTAATATTAATAAACAATAAAAAGCATAACTGCATTATAAGCAGTTAATTTTGGTGTTATGCGTCGAAGACCTCTTAATATGCGACCCAACTATTGTGGAACATAGGAATGAGATGCATACTAATAAGCTCTCAACGCTAGTATGTGATTTTATACATTTTGCTTATTTACCAAAATTGTTTCGAAGAAATTACTTTCGTTTTTATTAGTGAACTATAAGTGCTTTAGTTTTCAGTTACTTCTGGAAGAATGTGGACGTATAAACGGTTTTCTAACAAAGGCTCGCAAAGCTTCAATAAACACTTAATAATATTTTTGCTTTTTCTATTCTTCATTCAAATTTGTGTATTAGCAAAAAGTAGTAACAATTCTATTGAAGATGTATCTGCGCAAACAAACAATACAAACTATTCGACAGAAACTTTCAAAATTATAAATAACAAACCAAATAGAATAAATAAAGTCACGAATGTACAATCTTACAGGAATAAAACTAAAATTACAAAACATCCTGGTATAAAAATTGAAGACCTAAAGGATATCGAGGATTTACGCTCTTATGGATCTTTTGAGAATCATCCATGCAGACGCGTTTGCCAAGAGAACCAAGTTTTAAACTGCTATTACAGAATGTTGATACATAATTACCAACGCTTAGGCCCAGAATGTAGCCGATGCCCATACGATCCCTTGGCTTGCGAGTCTGAGCGTTGTATATATGGCGATGGAGTACCTACACCAGTGATGGCAGTTAACTATATGGTTCCTGGGCCAGCCATCGAAATATGTGAAAATGACACTGTTATAATTGATGTTTTAAATTATTTGACCGAAGCACACACAATGCACTGGCATGGCTTGCACATGTCACAAACACCAGAAATGGATGGCGCACCATTTATAACACAATATCCCATACAGCCAGGTGAAGTTTATCGTTATGCTTTTAAAGCAGATCGTAGTGGTACAGTTTGGTATCACAGTCACACTGGTTGGCAACGTGCTCTAGGTGTGGCTGGTAGTCTTGTTATACGGCAGACACGTCAAGCCAATCGTCAAGCGCATCTTTACGATTACGATCTAATTGAGCACACTTTGATGATACAGGATATTGTCTACAATTATGATTTTACACGTATTACAAATATACTAATCAATGGCAAAGGAAGAAACCATCGTACCAACTTACCTGATAATGATTCACGTCATCGTTACAAGAGGGTACGAGTCACACCAGGCTATCGCTATCGCATGCGTGTAATTAGTAATGGCGTATTTAATTGCCCTATAGAGTTTTCAATTGAGAATCATAAAATGCTTATGATAAGTACAGATGGCAATGATATTGACCCCATATTAGCGGACAGTTTCTTCTTGTCTTCAGCGGAACGTTTCGATTTTATTTTAGATGCTAATCAATACGCTAGTAATTATTGGATACGTGTACGTGGCTACAATAATTGTAGTACCACAAATTTGTATCAAGGGGCAGTGCTACATTATCGTGGCGCCGCAAAGAATGAACAACCATCTAACACATTGTCTGCGAACATTTTCGGACGTAGCAATGTGTCACCAAAAATTATTGTTAATGGTATAGAAGAATATATATCCTCAAATACAACATTCAGTAAACACACTGTTGAAACACAAGCTGCAGAATCTGAAGCTACAGAATCAGTCAATATAGCCACATCAGCTCTACAATCACTCGAACCATTAAGTTGGCCGAGATACACGAAGTTTTTGACTTATTATAGTAGTTTCGGTGTTTTTGCACAACGTAACGGTGACATAGCTTTTCAAATTGATGATATCACGTACCTTCAACCGGATGTATCACTTTTGCAAGCACGACCGCTGTACCAGGACGAAGCGTATTTCTGCAATCGCTCTGCTATGTATTCAGCTGGCTTCGACTGTGTACGCGACAATTGTGAGTGCACAAACGTTATACGCTTACCAGCTTTTAAACCCATTGAAATGGTTGTAGTTAATTATATGCAAACCACTCATCCTTTTCACATACATGGCTTTACATTTCGTTTAATCGGACAAGCAGTTGTCGGTAATCAAGCCGATCTGAGAAGAGTGAATAACATTTTGATTTTTACTTTACAAATTTATTATATGTATCATTTCTTTTCGTATTACAGATTGCTGAATTAGATCAACGTGGATATTTAAAAAGAGCACCACCGGATTTTCCAGCTGCAGAAAAAGATACTGTGCAAATACCAGGACTTGGATATATTATAATACGTTTCATCAGTGATAATCCTGGTTTTTGGATGTACCATTGCCACATTGAGCAGCACGCAATACAAGGCATGGTTGCTATACTTAAAGTCGGAGAGAATTACCAAATCAAACGTATACCTCCAAAAATTCGTTGTTAAGGAAATTTGTTGAACTTTGGAATCGTTTAGATCTTATAAAATAACTAATTAATGAGAGATAAAATAGAGAAAAAGCAGCGAATGAATCAAATCAAATTAAATTTAATTTATATTACATATATAATTACTTAATATTTATTTATTATATAAAACCTTGATTAAAATAATTAAATTATTAAAACCTTATAAAGTTTCTGAAATACATCTCTCTTATATATAGTTAGACATCCGAAGTAAAAGCTAGTAAGACTTAAACTACATAACTAGCACAACTTATGCTGTTAAGCATTATATTCTTCTAGGGTGAGAGGGAAAATTATATTAGATCCAGTCGAAACCGTTAGAAAGTAATTTCAAGTTGTCAGTGGGCAGAACACTGCAGAGCACTGCAAAAACAGAACAAACACACAAGTTCTTTTATAAAAAATATAGTGTTTCATATAGCCAAAAAATACTTTACAGAATACTTTTTTATTTCTTTTAATAATAAGATTTGTAGATAATCTAAAATAAGCATTTGATTTCATCGATTGTGTTTGTAGTGAATTATGATCTACCCTCTTAAGGTTAACTTCTTCATAACTATACTGTAACTTGTTTTCACCTTATCTGGATATATTTGTTTTAAATTGGTATCGTCAAGGTTCAATTGCACTTAAAATTGTTAAAATGCAGATCTTAACAATACTATGTTAGGATCCAGAATGTCCTTGCAAATAAGAAGAATTGATTTCAGAAATTGGTTCAGATGTTTGTAATATTTCAAATTATATTTGATTTCTATAACATTTTAACTATAACAAACTAATGGGCGATTCTCCTTAGATTTCCCGTTCTATACGTATTATGTTTTTTCTACTTTTTTCTACTAGCTAATATGGGAGGTTTTAATTCGAAGTTGGTCTAGAATTTTATATTCTAATAAGACATATTAATAGTAATAACTAATTGTTTTACAACAATGAATCTATTTCAAGTAGAAAAAAAGGTAATGGTTAGCATACAATAAAGTCATTAAAAAATACTTATGTAAACATGCCGCTTAATACTGACTTACCCAAACCAACTATTTCAGACTAAACTCTGAATGCTCCCTTATAATTCCTGCCAAAATACTTGTAATTTCTATTTCCAAATTAACAATAAGAACCACTCTAGCTACTTCAAATCTAGAATACACAGAATATACACTCTTCTCACTAGAATCACATCCCTACAATCTTAGCTTACGCTAAAGTATGAAAGTATGATGCAATTTGAACAGTACATCAACAGTAAAAACCAATACAGCAATGAAAGAATAGAATCTGAAAAATAAACCGAAGAGCGTATATAGAAAATGGAATAGTCTATAGCCCATATCCTTGTCATGGTGGCAAAAAAGCATAGATTTTCGATACTTCAAATTATGGCAGAATTCATCCCTTTCCTTAATCCTTTCAAACAATCCTTTAAGTTTTGATAGAAAAAATGTGCAGAAAAGCATTTTTCATATTTTGCCACAGCAACGCTACCTCTGGAGTTCAAATGTCCTTCTCTCCTAGTGGAGCATAGGCCCTGTTTTATAATGTTCTATAAAAATTTTCATTAAAATCGAACTGACAATTCGTACAAATATTCGAACATCATAAGTATTTGTATTTTAGAGCTTTCTTATTTTAGTTTTAGTATACTAGATTGATAGATAGATTGTTATGTCTCATAAAAAGTTATGATTATAATGCCTCATTTTTATATAAAAAGATATGTCTCAAATTTATTGTCACATAGTGTAATTATTTGTAATACGTAATATTGCACACTTTTATTATGAGTATAAAATAATATACGATAATATAATAATCCACAGTACATTATTTAAATATATGTATGTTATATAGAAGTAGATTCATCTTCACGTAGTCAATTATTTCGTCAATTATGTATAATTTAAAAAGTACTGATAACAAAATCAGTGAAGGCACTGATACTGATAATAATTGAAAATGCTTTAGTCACTTTTAGAATATAAACAAATCAAGTACGAGTAGCTCAAAATCAGACCTCATTGATTCCAAAAATAAGAATAGTTGATGTTAAAAGAATGTCTATTATGTTCTTCTTGGAATTAGTCATTTTAATTGGGTTTTTTAAATATAACGCAGTACGAGCATCTGACACATACCACAGCAGTAAATACATATACTCAAAATTTTATATAATTGGAAAATATAAGTTACGTGAAAAAAAAATTTACAGCGAAGACATGTCTAACTCCAGATAATGTACATGGATATTGCGTACCAATGGCCAAATGTGAACGAATAACATGGATGATAGAAAGTTGGGGTGAACCATATCCACCGTATGTTGTGGATTACATTAAGAACAGTCATTGTGGTATAACCGGTAATATTGTAAGTGCTTTTAAATAGTTATTCTACTCCTTCAAGTTCAATAACAATCTAATTACTGTGTTTAGCATTATGGTTGCTGTGCTATTAATGATTTAAAAGGATTTCAGCCTACACATCAAGTTCCTACACATCAAAGAACTACTAATTACAATGTGCCTGTGCTTCCAATACCTCGCACCCCTACACATCAAAGCACTTCTGATTACAATGGACCGGTACGATATCCCCCTCCACCTGACCCATTTTCCTTTAACAATCAACATCATTCAATGAATGGTTATCAATTACATGGAAATAATTACTATCAATCATCACTACCAGTTGGTGAGCAAATCTTAAGTTCAATGCCATGTGGCCCATTCGCTGGCCATCGGATCTCAAATGGTGAATTTGTGCGACTATTAGAATTTCCTTGGATGGCTTTATTGGAATACGCTGGTGCTAAAACTCGTAAGCGTTTTAAGTGTGGTGGTACTTTGATTACAAATCGTTACGTGCTGACTGCAGCTCATTGCGTCACTGGGGCAAGTGAATTGTGAGTTGGTATAAACTATCCAATCAAATAATATTCAATATATTTACAATATAAAAATGTCATTTCCATTGATACAGAATAAGCGTCCGTTTAGGAGAACATAACTTAAATACTCAAAATGATTGTGAACGTTATTTTAAGGACTCTGGTGACATATACTGTGCACCTATATATATTGATGTGGGTATTGAAAGAACTATACCACATCCTCAATATACAACACGTCCTATTAGCAACGATATTGCCTTAATCAGACTCAGTACTGCAGTACAGTTTCAGTGTAAGTAATTTAAAGCAATTTAAATTATAACAAAATGTCAATATGTACGAAACCATATATAAAATTTAATATACAGAAGTAATAAATTATTATAGATTATAATTTGCTAGTAGATATGTCCATATATAAATCAAATCAATATCTTAAAATAAAACTTATAGCACATATAAAGCCAATATGCTTACCACGCGCTCCTTACGCCTTCAATCATGTTCCAGAATCTCTCACAGTTAGCGGTTGGGGTGTTACAGAGCAAGGTTATGAAAATATATCTTAATCATGACATCATATATTCATTTATTGATTTATTAATTTTTATTCAAAGGCTACGCAGCTGATGTCTTAATGAAAGCTAACTTACCTCTACAAAATAACGCAGTTTGTCACAATGCCTTTTTTCGGAGCATAAATATAAATCCCAATCACATATGTGCTGGTGGCGTTGATCACAGAAGTACCTGTCGAGGTGACTCCGGTGGACCACTATTTGCACCAGTAAACTACATAAATAATGATGATATCCGTTATGTACAATTCGGTATAACGTCAGCTGGGGAATTAAGTTGTGGCGATAGTAGTCATAACTATCCTGCTATATTTACACGAATTTCGAATTATATGGATTGGATACTCACCAATATAGTGTTATAATAAAAATATAATTTATAAAAATAATCCCATTTCTTTAACTTCTCTAATTAGAGTATTGTATCAACTGGGGTATGTCGACTTAAAATTTCATTAGAATGTTTGTTACAATTAAAAATACATTAGTACGATATTCTGTATACATATATGAAAAATATAAGGAAATCTATGATTAGGACAAACAGAAACTAATATCTACTAAAGTCCAGTCGAATATTAATATTCAATAAGAAAATATGGTAAAAGTAATCAACAGCAAATATCATTTTAATAAATCGGTATTCGAACCAACATTAATATATACCGCAAAAAGCTAGCCCACATGAAGAACTTAAACCGTATATCTACTAAAGGATACAGTGATTGAAAGGATAGTTAAAAAAGATGTGTAGAGAGAGGATTAAATAAAAAAAAAGAAGAATAGTAAATCCAGTAAATTTTATGAGAAACAAAAACCACTTGATACGTTGACAAATATGGAAGCTTGAGAATATAGAAATAATTAAAACATTATTTTAAATTCGCAACAATTGTAAACGAACAAATGACCCAAATTAACGGATAATGTACTTACCTCTTGAGAGGAAACTCGTGAAAGGTTTCATTTCAGTTCAATTTTTTATTCTCTTTTTTTAAAGTTTAAATTTTGTTAATTATACAAATTTTTTAATAACACAGAGACCAACAAACGGCCTTGATTTAGATGTGCATAAGTTATAAAATATATGTTTGCTTATAATGCCTTTTCATTTCGACATTGTATAGACAGGTCTACATTTTTTATATACTCTTTGATGTCGTTTATATTCTTTCCTCCTTTTAACCGGATACCCAGCAACTTTTTGAAGATTTTTCACATGTGATATTCACAGTTTACCGAATCTATGTCAGTTCAGTTAGAGTTAAAATAAAAGGTAATTCCTTAATTAAGAACACCGTAAAATTGATTAATTACAGTGTTCACTCGTTAAATGCAACAATTAATTCGTAACATATACTGGATCGTCTATTGTCATTAACAATGAGTCTATAAATCCTAACAAAAGTTCTTACTAAAGAACAAAACTTTTATTACTCCTTCACTAAAAGAAATTAAGGTTTATACACTTTTCTTGAAAATAATTATATCAGAACTACCACTCTATCACAATTCCTATAACTATTACTGTAAGGGGTTTTTGGTTATGGTTTTGCAGCCAAATTTGAAAAAAAATTATTTTTTATTTTCGACTAATATTGAAATTTTTAACTTCTTAAAACAGTGCATTACCTTAGGTTCTTTTACAAAAGCATTAATTTACATTAGATATATTTTTTTCATTTAACGGCAAGTTTTCCCAGTATCGTTAAGCTTTCAACTTCAAAATGCAAAAAAAAAACCACCATTGGGGCAGAATCATAGCAGAATCTTCCAGACTTTTTATTTACTCGTTCTATCTTATTTAGGTAATATTTGAGTTGACAATATCCTGCTAACAATTCAGTACAGCATTTTTATCTCTAAATGTACACACATTTCTCGAATCCTATCTACAGAACAAAATCCATCATGAGAAATATTAATATCTACGTTATTCTCATACGTTATTTAATATAGACGTTTCCATAACAATATTACTGGAATTAATCATCTGATGCAAAAATTTGGAAACTATACAAATCCATACAAAACTTAAAGCTGATATTCAGGTGAGTAGCAGTTGCTTCTCAGGAGTCACTGGCTTGTAAATTTGAAATCGAGAATTCTTTCTTACAAGACTATCGTAGAACCAATTTAAATTTATGATCTCCAAATATTGATAATACCAGTTAAATAAACATTGATATTTTCAAAAAATGTAGTCAAAAATGTTCCCAGTGATTACTGAAAACCTTTAATATATTTAAAATACATGTTTTCATAACAAAAACATATATCTGATGGATAAATCTGAATTCACCTGAGTTAGAGAGAAACTTAAACCATATACGAATACTTAAATTAGAAACTCAGGAATAGACATTCTTTAGAAATAAGAGAGCTCTTGATAGTAAATGTTTCCAAACATCCTACCCATCCAATAATAATAGAAAAAATGCATACATTTTGAAATGGGGCTTACTGTAGTTTGCAGTGCTGGTGGGTTTGCGAATAAAATTACCTAATTATTGTCAATAAAAAAATATTTATTAAGTACATACATTATCAATATGTACATATCACTTTCGTACTCCGGCAGTACTACAAACAAATAACTATGAGTGAATAACTGGCAATTAACCGAATCAATAACCATGAAAACCGTGTCGAAGTAATCATTGTCATATCCACATTCAAAAAAAATCTCAATTCAATTGGAGGTAATTTTTTCCCAAACAGTTATTAAGCAGCAGTTAACATAAACAGTCGTTCTGAACGCTTTTAAATATTCTACATCTATTTTCTGGTCAATTTCTTTCTCTCAGTTTGTGAATATGTACAGTTTAACGGTATTTAGTTCCCAACATATAATCACTTCCGTCATTTTTGCTTGTTACCTTACACTGCCTTTAATTAGTGGACAAAACATATTCGAGCGTTTTCGTCCCAGCAATGTGTCTCGTTCAAATGAAGACTTAGTTAAAGTAGTTTCGGGAACGAAAGTGAAACGT